TTCATGGAGATATATATATATAATAAAGCTATTTTATCACTAATAGTAATTTGTGGTAAGGAAATAAGACTAATAGTGAATTATTTATATTTTTAAAATAATGAAATATTAATTCCAAGAAAATTTAGACTACTTGATTTAATAAAATAGTAATTAAAAATTTAGTATTCAAACGACAAAAATGAGAGAGAATTAAACTAAATATGTAAATATAAATGTTCATTAAATGAACCCTAATGATTTGAGGGAACTTCAGGGATCTGCTAGTTATTATTTAAAAAAATTTCAATTTAATAATATCAATTATAAGAAAATTAATTATTTGTAATATAATTTTACCCGTAATATCTTAAACATTTACTAAAAAACTCTTACCTTATAAATTATATATCCTAATATTTTGAATTAAATTATATAATTATAATTATTTTTCAGTGAATATTACATACATACTGCCTAATTCCTAAGCTTTTATATATCTAACATCTGTACCATATATACTTTTATATTTATACCCCATTTCATATATAACATATCTAACATTTATACTTTTATATACACACACGCATGCGCATATACATACATACATATACACATACACATACATACAATATACACATATGTACATACATATACACATATGTACATACATATACACATATGTACATACATATACACATATGTACATACATATACACATATGTACATACATATACACATATGTACATACATATACACATATGTACATACATATACACATATGTACATACATATACACATATGTACATACATATACACATATGTACATACATATACACATATGTACATACATATACACATATGTACATACATATACACATATGTACATACATATACACATATGTACATACATATACACATATGTACATACATATACACACATATGTACATACATATACATACATAGACACATATGTACATACATATACACATATGTACATACATATACACACATATGTACATACATATACATACATAGACACATATGTACATACATATACACATATGTACATACACACATATGTACATGCATACACACATATGTACATACACACACACATATGTACATACATACACACATATGTACATACATACACACATATGTACATACATACACACATATGTACATACATATAGACATGTATATATATATA